TGTTTCTCGAAAGCCCTCGCTTTGTGATTGTATGTTTCCAAAACGATTGTGATTACACCAAAGTCAACAATGATCCAACCCAATTCAACCATTTCAATATCACCAATATAACATTGACTCTGAACGGTGAAAATTAGCCCAAAGAAAATATGCATCTGAATCTTGAGAAAATGACTTTTTTGCAAGCATATTTCAATTACGCACAATTCGGTTTCACCTACAAAATGACAAATCAACATAATCCTCTCATCAATACTGCAGACTTTACACAAAAATCTCTCATTGTCATCGAGTGTTCCAGAAGGGATGAAAGCATCAAAAATTCCAGTGTTGATGTAAAACTTGAAATCGAAGCATCTGAAGGATTACCCCAAACACACGAGCCTATTGCATCATTGTGCACGACATTGTCATTGAGCAACTCCCACTTAGCGAAATTGTTAAAAAGTGGAACTAATTAAAAGTTTTTCATCAGTTGACAGTTGCACATTATGAGACTAGCATTCGTTGATATTCAAGGTTTTGTTATTGAGCAACAATTCCACCCCAAAGAGATTGCCATCAAGATCGGTAATCAATGTAATGATTTTATGTTCATGCCGCCGAAGACATTCTCCTCCTTGAGCAGAGACGATAGAAAAGGCGTTGTCTATGTTGAAAAAAACATTCATGATTTGAAGTATTCTTCTGGCTTCGTGGAATATCATCTAATAGACAACATTCTCAAGGAAAATATATATGACGTCGACATCATTCATGTGCGTGGTCACCAAAGAAAGCCTTTCTGGATGACGGACTAGACCTATTCAAAGAATACACAACTATTGTGAATTCGGAAGACTTTGACGATTCATGATGGACTGTTCCGATGTTCGAGAAAAACATACCGTTCTGTATGCATCATGCCAAAGGAAGCCCATTCAACTGCAGTCTTGATAATGTTGATAGTTTGTATAAATGATTTTATTACCAAAATTAATAAAATGCATACTACAAACCGATGTTTTTCATTTTCATGTTCTCCAGTAAAAATTGTGCGGTTAGAGTACCCACATCTCCCTTGTATCTTCACTAATACAAAAGTTAGATTCATATCTCTTTTAAATAGTTTTTTGGCATCGGGACGAATCAATTGATGTCGAAATTATCGAAATCAGGCGACCGGAAGTGAAGACCGAAAATGGTCATTTTATCGAAGATTCGGACTCTCCTCCATATGGGCAATCTGAATTCATATTAGTTTTCTTCTATCTCAATTTTTATGAAACGGAAGTGATTATTTTTCGATGAATCGTATAGATCGGAAACTTTGTTGATTCATATTTTGGTCACCATCATCGTTACGTTCTGTTAGCAGACATGTTTTTTTTCAACGCCGCTCACAACATGTATATTGCGATGACGGCCATGTTTTTTTTCTTCAACGCTACACACCCTGTATACCTCAATGTCAACTTTTCTTCAACGCTGCAAACACACCCCGTATACATCCATAGCAGCCATGTTTTTTTCTCTAACGTTGACCGCCATGTTTTTTTCTATAACGCTGCTTACAACATGTATACCACGATGGCAACGTTTCTTCAACGCTGCAAACACACCCTATATACCTTTTGATTGATGTGTATTTCATAAGTTCGGACTTCATTTGTTTAATATAATACAGGGTGTCCCTGGACTTCCTCTTTTCCTCTCGGGAATGTATTTCGTCTGATTAGAAGTTTCCATATGTTACATATCTCTACGCTAGCTTGACTAAATGCGTTGTTGGACAACATATACGTGGCTTCTTTGAATTTTCTCCTAAATCAGTGTTCCTCTTTGTGGATGATTTCAGCTTGAGCCCACTTGATATTATGTTGATGAACCCAAACATGTTCTGCTATTCCGCAGAACTAGACACTTTCCTGAAGCACATCAACAACGAAAGTCCTTCCATCACTTTCACAATGGAGAAGGAAGTTCACAACGAATTACCTTTCTTAGACGTATTGGTGAAGAGGACCGACACTAAATGGGAAACATCTGTATATATCTTACACAGGACAGTATCTGAATCAAATATCCAACCCCAGAGTGGTTACTCCAGAGTGATGGTAGAACAGGTTTTAGCTAGAAGACAGCAAGAGCACCACAAGGAAGAGAAGCCTCCACAACCAGTTCTTGTACTTTCCTACATCAGAGGATTATCGGAAAAGATACGAAGGATTGGGTCCAACTATAACATCAGGACCTGCTTCAGATCTGGGAACACTATCCGTAGCAGCCTCACGAAAACCAGGCCACCAAACGCGGACTGCGATTTCAAGAATTGCAATTACCGGATACCCTGCGAGTGCGGAGAGTCCTACATCAGTGAAACTAAGAGACCTTTGAAAGTTCCCTTTGCTGAGCACAAGAAACACACACAGCAAGGAAAAACCAGCAAATCCGGAATAGCAGAGCATGTTTCGGCTCATCAACATAATTTCAAGTGGGCTCAAGCTGGAAATCATCCACTAAGAGGAACACTGGTTTAGAAGAAAATTCAAAGAAGCCGCGTATATGTTGTCCAACAATGCATTTAGTTAAGCTAGCGTAGAGATACGTAACATATGGAAACCTCTAATCAAACGGTGATCTCCCGCTGAAAACCAATGAAGCGGAGAGAGAGCAGATGGGATAGGTGGAAACACTCGAATAGCCTATAAATAGTCGGATCTCGAAGAAATAAGTCCAGTTATCATCCGAAGACGATTGTGGATACTAACAATCGAAACGTCGTGACATAACTTGGTTTAGAATTTTTTAATTTTAATTTTCAATTTTTTGTTAATAATAATTTTTTATTTTCAGCTTTTATTAATATTTCAATTTTTATTTTTTGGTTGTTGTTTGGTTTTATGTTATGTCCAAACTGATGAAATACACCACGAAACATTGTCAACCACCTTCAAACAAACATTTGATTGATGTATTTCGAAACGACACCCTGTATACAATATTATTGTTCTCATAAACATACTCGCATTGTTATCTATTAAACGCCACCGCAAACACTGATAAGCCACTTCCGACTCTGTCATACTTGTTTTTCTCAATATTACTTCGGACGAAACTAAATATGTTTTACTGATGTAAAATGTTAAAACAATTCGAAAAGCGATGACCAAAGCCATCACTCTCAACAGTTCGCAATTACTTTCAATATCTATCGGTGATGTCGAGGCTAACGATCACGTATATCGCACCATCAAGGGTCCAATCACAAATCATGTTGCTATTCGCGCGCCCTCCACCTCACTAGGGGTTGCTCTTCTCAGCGATCATCGAGCTGACCATCGACAGCTTGCCATCCGACTAGACCGGAAGTAAATGAGACAGAACCAATTTTGTATACCTACTATTTTATTGAGAATTTTGGTCCATTCTCTCACGATAAGCATTTGAATGTTAAAATGTATGTACATTTTTTATTCAATGATTTTGAATTTGAATTTTGAATGAATAGATGAATTGCCACTGAACATCCGCTATAAAATATAATACTTTTAACAAGACGGTGCCTCCTTTCATAATACAGCAATGGTGAGGAAACATTCCGGTGCCATATTCTCAACAAAATGGATTGCAAACAATGGACCAATTGCCTGATTTAGATTTTCTTATTAGGGAATACATGAAAAATATAGGTTTTTCGACACCCAGTACAGATATCGACCATCTCATGCTAGAAAATTGCCACAGAAATTGTATGGACAGACAACTCATGACTCAACAAAAAGGTCGTCAATTCGAGCACTCAATGCATTTGTTTTATACTTTCCCAATAATCCATCATAAAATGAATAGTGTTTCTGTTCTGTTATGAAATTAATTGTTTTTCTGTTTCATTGTTATTACTGATGATGCTACTTATTCAAAATGAAAAGCTGAAAAAATATCAAGTGTGATATATACCACTGAATTGTGATTTTATTGTTTTATCGATATTTGTAATGAAAAGAGAAGTTGTTAATGGCCGTGTTGACACGAAATGATGAATAATCGTTATAATACATTTTGAACACAATGAAAGGTTTTGTTTCAGTTTCTTTCATATTTTCTGAAATAACAATGCTATTCGTAGAAAAAAAACATTTTTTTCAGTTTTCCCTATATAACTCGAGAAGGGCGGAGGTCTTCGACCATTGTTTTGTTTTCCACGATAGTTACATTTTTCCAATTTAATCGTCTTCACATCTGTTATGGTTTGGAATTATTTTTCGATGTAAGCTCATTGGCTTTATACTGGTAGCGCCACCTTATATATTCTCATATCTGGAGAGAATTATATTTCGAACAGCTTCTTGGGAATGGATTGTACATGTCAACCCGTCTTGAAGATAAATTTGGATAGTGACGAAAATGGCAACAGACTGATATCGGAGAGCACCTTGTACTACATCGAATGTTTCAGTAACAACATTGACATAATTCACATTTCAAAACTCCTTTGACATCTGTCGAAGAAGTTGAGGAATAAATAATTAGTAAAGGAATTACTGCATATATATTTCATATATGGACAGTATTGTATTATTCCTTAGTTATTTTTTTGAAAGGGAAAATTGTTGAATACGACAATTTGCTGATAAATTAACCATTTTTCTTTGTGAAAAATACTTTGATTTTACGCAGTAACTTATCGGGGTGAACTAAAAAGTTTGCCCCTTCTACACTTGTATAAAGTTCTTCATTATAATTTTCATATTTTTCAGATTGTGGAAGGTGAAAATACCCAAAAAAGGGTGATGAAAACTGATTTTCCCCCACAAACAATGAGTTTCGTTCATTTCACACGAACTTTTGATAAATGGTATACAAAAATATTATTGAATCACTCGGTTTATTTGTAAAAAGCGTATGAAAAGCCATTCGATATTTTTTATCGCGTTCAGGCAGACAAACATTCGTGGAGGTGGACTATAATATATAGTGATATTGTAACTAATATCGTTGAAAGTTTTTTCGTATTCTAGGAATAAGACATATTATTACTCTCTGTCCGGAAAAAATACCTGATATCGCAGAATCAAAATTTTCTTGGACCTATATCCCTATAGAAGAATGCCATGCACCTTCCATTGAGGACATTTTCAAATTCATCAGAACAGTTCAGTGGTGTAAAAAATTGAACTTGGTAAGTGAAACTCTCATCATGTCTCATATTTCTAATTTGATAATGAATATAGAGTTCAAACTCATTGGGAAAATGAGAACAAAATATATATCCTTCTGGAAAGGCGATATAAAATTCAACAATGGTTTGTTGGTGGGAGTATTCGACAAAATATCAATAAAAATCCCCCGAGCGTAAGATAACACCGACTTTGTTCCTATCGATATCTTAAATATTTTTGAAAAGTAGATTGAGACTGTCTCTGTTTTTGTTTTACTGACACGTTGAATACATATATATGTTCACTTTTCTTTTCGAGTGAGTTCCAGCGATCACAATAAATATAAACAGCTCTGAACATACTTCATCAATTCCCCTATGATAATTTCTTGTTGCAGTAGAAAAATCGCGAGTTAAAGATACTGATTTCAGATAATTCCAGGGACCACTTGATCAAGAGATTTTTCCACCCATTTCTATTGATTTTCTTTAACGGGCATTTGTTGAAAATTGTTCCAGCGATCACAATAAATATAAACAGCTCTGAACATACACTATCAATTCCCCAACGATTATTTCTCGAGTTAGTAGAAAAATCTCGAGTTATAGATAATGGTTTCAGATAATTTCAGGGACCACTTGATCAAGAGATTTTTCCACCCATTTCTATTGATTTTCTTTAACGGGTATTTGTTGAAAATTGGCGTATTCATTTTTGAGCCAGGTATAAAGGTATTCCTTTAATAAAAATTGGCAGATCGTAAAAACTTTTTTCAGATAGCTCGAATACGCCAATTAATTTTCCATTTATTTCTTCCAGCCCGTAAACCCATATCAAAATGGTGCCGAAATGGCTTGTGTCTCACTATTAATTTTTGTTACTAGTTGCCTAAAAGTGGTAGGTTATGTTAGGTTAGGCAATATGGCTGCGACAAGTGAGTTTGCTCTGTTCACTGGTGAACTGAATAAGTTGAAAAAGAATGAAATTATCGATATACTATTAACATTAACAGTACCAGTAACTGTAGTTAACCCTCAACTCAACATTATGTGCAAAAACTCAGTGAAAGCTATATACAAAGTGACTTTGATGCTGTCGACCACAGCAAGAATAACATAACCTGCGGATCTTGCAATACCTTGCAGACAAAATTGGAATCTGTGAAAAGTGAACTAGGACTTGTGAGTAGACTCAACCATCATTTAGGAAAACGAACCCAAGCAATTGAGTAGTAATTCGTCTTCAGCAGTACATGAGATGCCATCTACAAGTCCTACTTCGAATCAAATCCCACCAAAGCAAATAGTACGAAATCTCACAACAAATAATGTGCCTGACCAAATAAAAAACATATCTTTCAGTGATGCGGTAAAAACTGTAAATATAGATGTGACTAGGCAGTTACAAAAACCAGCGGACACTCATTCAGAGCAAAAAATCAACGAAACTAGTATATTTATTCACAAGCGGAATTCCTTTGATAACAAAAAATATAAAGTGATTATTGGTGCAAATGACAATGGAAACATTAGGACAGTGCCTAAGAAAGCTTTTGTTCATGTATCCCGTTTAGCAGCAGATATGAAATCAGACGGTCTGCTGAGCATATTAAAGAAAAATACCCCTGAAATCAATTTTACTTGTGATGAGTGGAATCGCACTGAACATATGTCAATATCTTTTTCATTAGAACACGTTGACAAAATTTATGATTCTTCCATATGGCCAACTGGAGCAGTTATTAGGAGATTTAAGTTCAAACAAAACTTTTAGATATCCAACAATCAAGAAGTACACAACTAGATATTTTAAATGGGAATACAGCATATTTATCAAATAGTAACCTTTCAGTTGACATGAATTGTACCGATTCGGTGAGTATGTTCCATATAAACACACAATGCGTGTCAAATAAAATAGAACAAATAGCGTGTTTTCTTGATGAATTTCAGTTTGATGTGTTCTGTTCAACCTAGCACTGGCAGAATAAAAATAACTTACCAACGATTAATATCCCTGGACATAGACTTGTAAATTATTTTTGTAGGAAAAGCCAGTAAATGGGAGGAATAGCTATTTATTTAAGACAAAAAAATATATCATTCAAATCACTCAATTTGAATTCATTCAGTATGGAAATTCATTCTGAATTTTGTGACATTCTGATTCAGGACCTGAAAACATATGTGTTTACTTTATACAGATCTCCTTCTGGAGATTTCAGGATATTTATGGAAAACCTAGAACGCCTATTGGAACACTTTTCGATAACGGACGGAAGAGTCTTAATTTTGGGTGACTTTAACATTCATTTTGAAATCATAAATGATCCTATGCTGAATGAACTATTATGTTTGCTAAATTATTTTGGCCTTTCCGTAAATATTCATGATAACACAAGAAAATCTAGCTGTATCGAAAATATATTATCTACCTTTGAAAGCGAGTTGTTAAGAACTGGCATTCTAGAACCATGCATATCCGATCATTTTGGGCAATATGAAATCATAAACCAAAACTTAAACAGCCTACAAATATATCATTCTATGAAAGAGTTATCACAACCTCGAGCTTACAGAAAATGAAAAATGCCCTGTGTAATGTGGGCTGGGAGATTTTCAAAAATGATGAACTAGGCGTAAATTATCTTGCAAATTTTTCAGTGAATACGTTTCATGATGTAGTTGAAAAAATATTTCCATTGAAGAAAAAATCTTTACACAAAAAGCAGTTGATAAATTGGTTGATGATGAGCTGAAGGCCTAAAGATCACTCTTGTCAAATATTAAACTGATTTCGGATGTGAGTAAAAACCTTGATGACATAAGAGTTTATAAACTCTTGGAGAAGGCATATCTAAAAAAAAAATAAAAACAGCAAAAAAATTATCCATATGATTTCAGGCTCCCTTCAAATGTGTTCTTTTTGCCGATGATACGTCATTTATATGTTCAAGTCCAGATAACCACTTGAAACATGGTTTAGAGCCCACAATCTGAAAATAAATGAGGACAAGTCTCATAGGCTACTCGTAACGACCCGTCAGTATGAACAACTAGACCAGAATGTGAAGCTACTTCAGACTCTGAACTGAATTGGAATGCTCATATAGATCAGCTAAAACTGTCGGATCATATTTCTTCTGCGACAACACAGGCATTTTTCAAACTACGAAACTTTGAGAACAGTTTATTCCTCACTGTTTCAGTCTCATATGGGTTACGCCATTTTACTGTGGGGAAAATCATCGGATGCTAATGTTATTTTCATTCAACAAAAAAAGGCAATAAGAATATTAGGTAATCTAGGGTATAGAAATACGTGTAGACCTTTATTCATCAAACTCAGAATCATGACTCTTTCGTCCCTATACATTTACAATTCACTCCTTGAAATACACAAAACATAGTCCAACCTCACTACACATGCTGAGATTCACCATCATAACACTAGAAACTCTGACAAGATCAGACTTCCTAGATATAAGCTTTCTATTTCACAAAAAAATTCTTTAAATTTCAGTCTCTACAATGCACTGCTTCATTAAATCAAAACGATGAGTGTGAATAAGTTTAAACGAACCATCAAATCGTATTTGCTAAAAATGCACAAGATGCACAAGATATATGCTCTGTTAATGAGGTAGTTGGATAGTAAAGTTGCAAGATTCCCATCTTGATACCTACGACAACCTTTCCGTATGAGAATTTTTGCACGTCTGCTACACCTGACGATGACGTAGATTCAGTCGTGCGGCGCTTTTTCGCCCCCGGTTTTATTGAATTATCACTTGAGCGCAAACGTTTGCTAACCTGCTCATAGGGGGTTTGTTCCCCCACCTGAGACAGATTCCGCGTACGCCGCTCAAGAATTTGGTGCAAGGCGGTTTTATTAGGTACACCGCTCTTGAGGAGACGACTCAGTCGTTTCCTGGCTGCACCACCAAACCTTTTTGTTAAGGTTCAGTTATTGGATCAGGAGTTGGGGAGTTGAGCAGCTCTCCCTCTTGAAACTCCACATCCATCTCCTCTGTAGACTCGCTACTGATCTAAGTTCATAGGGAGGTCAGTTGGAGTCGTGAACTCGACATTCATCTCCTCTGTAGACTCGTTCCTGAAATAAATTTACAGGGAGGTCCGTTGGAGTCGTAAACTCGACATCCATCTCCTCTGTAGGCTCGCGCCCGAATCAAATTTACAGGGAGGTCAGTTGGAGTCGTAAACTTGACATCCATCTCCTCCGTAGACTCGCTCCTGAATTAAATTTACAGGGAGGTCAGTTGGAGTAGTAAGCTCGACATCTGTCTCCTCTGAAGACTTAGCGTCAGAAAGAAGTTTCAAGTTTACCCACGTAGCGGGGCTACGTGGAAGCAGGCATCCGATGACCGGTTTGCTCAACCCTCACATCCCAAGCCAATGCACTCGCCGAAAAAAGCATGCAAAATGGCGCAGGCAGTGGAATATGAACAAGGGCAGCCCAAAAGTGGTAATTGTATATCTTATATGTGCACCACAAGTTTAGTTAATTCGTTCATAAAATCAAATTAAAAATCAGCTCTGATTCATCAATCGATTGAAACTGGCCGATACTTGATGCAAATTTATATCGAAACATACAATAAAGTTCACTGTGAGATCTTCATAATCAACGTTACCTTATTCATTTCTTGATTGAGAGAAAAATAATGGTACATGTGCCTAGTTGGAACGACTAGCTTTGAATCTGCGGAGGCAAGGGTGCAGGTCGTTTCTTGATATATAAGTTCAATAATGAATGCTGAAAAGGGTTACCAAATAGAAGATATTATTTGGACGTCATCAACAAAAGTTTTTAGAAATAATATATCCCTTTTCAACACTTGTCACTGTAGACCAACTTTATTACACCGGAAAAAAGAAACTTCCAGAATACCGATAAAACACTCCTGGTTCACTCCTGGAGATCCAGGATTCTGGCAGTCTCCAGCAGTAGCCACCTCAGACCCATTTTTTGTAGGTCATCCAGACACATCCAGGACGAT